CCTGCTGAAACCATAATGCCTAAAAAAACAGCCCTGCTGTCATTGTTATTAATGTCCTCAAATTCCTCATTCCTTTTACAACCACAGTGAAACCTTTCTTCCCTCTTTCTTCTTTCCTCATAGTCACAGAAAAGACCCAAAGAAAATAACTGAGATTTCAGCTCCATTAATTTTTCAGGGCACCGTGAATTAGAGAAGCAATTGCAATGCAGTCAGTCTCTGTGGGAAAATAAGTCTCTGTGATTGTGCTTTAGTCTAAATACATGGAAGGCTAAGTAGCACTATTAATACCCAGAATACATGCTGTTCCAAAGGAAAGCACCCAGGGCAGAGGCAGCCCGTGAGGCCAGGGAATTTCAGGGACATCCTGAAATTCAGTCAGTTAGCAAGGACCAGACCCTGGCACAAGACTTGCTTTGGCCAGTGATGTGTGATGTATTCCAGGTCAAAGCAGATACACTAAACTGAGGACCAGCAAGGAGGCCAGGTCCTGTAGACAGCCACGGCTCAGGCCAGCCAGGAGTCTCCATGTGGAGGTCCCTGACCTGGGTGATCCCTGATGGTAGAAATTCATTCATTCATTTATTCATTCATTCATCCATCCATCTCCATGATCCATCCACCCCCATGCATGCATGCATCCAGCCAGCCAGCCAGCCACCATCCATCCATCCATCCATTCAATATTTTCAGCCAGGTACTTGAGGTAAAATGGTGAAAAAAACCAGGCATAGCCCTTACCCTCAAAGAGCTTACCCCAAATGTGTGTGTACGGTGCAGACAATAATCAAATAGTGGCACAAATACATAATTACAGTCCTGGGAAAGAGAGGCACTGGAATCTGGGAGAGTGTGGCACAGTGGGTCCCAAGCAGGCCTGGGGGCTGCCAAGGAAGCTCCTGATCTGGACAGCTTCCATCTAGTCCAGACCCAGGCTCTGCCTTCTCCACCTTTTTCCAACCCTGGGGGCTTGCCCTGTGTAGACGGCATCCACAGGCTCCTTCTCTCTGGCTTCCGGTGGGATTCAGACCATGGGAGGCGCCAGCAGAAGACCGGAGGGCGGGAGGGGAGAGAGCTGGGTACCATGACTCCTGTTCTCCGGCTGCCCAGCCGCAGTTCCTAGGGGCTGAGCGACACTTTCCTGGACCTGCCTCCTCCTTGCCCGTTCCTTATGGCTCTGGGGATCTGGCCTCCTACTGGGCAAGGTGGTTGGCTGAAAAAGGCCCCCCAAAACACCCACATCATAATCCCTGGAACCTGTGCATGGGACCAGATGGAGGAAAATAAAGACTCCGCAGGTGTGATTCAGTGAAGATGTTTAGTTGGGAAGATTATCCTGGACCATCCGGGTGGGGCAGAGGGAACTTTCACACACACGTGCACACGCGTGTGCACACACGCGCGCAGCAACGGGTTGAAGACGCTGCCTTAGAAGATCCGAGTGACCCCTCCACACGCCACAGAATGCCAGAGACTGGGAGAGGCAAGGGAGGGATCCCCCCCAGAGCCTCCAGAGGGAGCGGGGGCCCACAGACACTTTGGTGTTCGTCCCATGAAACTGATTTTGGGCCTTTGGTCTCCGAAACTGTGAGAGAATACATTTCTATTGTTTTAAGCCGTCGAGTTTGTGGTCATTTCTTACAGTGGCCGCAGGAAACCGACACAGGCCTTTCCTACAGCCAGGGTGGCCCCTCCTCCACGGGCCCTCAGCAAGCTCCCCCCTCAGCCCCAGGGTCTCTCCTAGCCCACCCACGCTGGCCCTGGATAGAGCCCCCCATTACGCTCTCCTCTGTCGCCCTGTGAAGGTGCCCTGTGTTCCTGGGGCCCTGCTGCTCTGCGCCTCAGAGGAGGGGACGCTGCTCTGGGGTCTGAAGGACGATTCACTCTCATGGTGGTGGTGGAAGAGGCCTCCAGGCTGAGGGGAGGGCCTGGCGTGGGAGGGTGCGTGGAACGTCCTGGAAGTAGAGGGAGGCCCTGTGGCTGGAGGGCAGAGAGAGGGGGACAGAGTGGAAGCGTCCTCATAATCATCCACTATCTATCGACCGGCTCTCGGGCCCATTTGTGCCAAGTGTGCAGCTCACCTCCCCCACTCGGCTCTCCTGCAAAGCCTGCAGCTCCTGGTGGCATCCAACCACACGGCCCAGGGGAGAAGGGGCCGATGGGGGGTCCCGGGCCCCACGTGATGGGAAGGCTCCAGGCCTGCTCACCTTGCCCTCCCGGGTGTAGGCCAGCACCTTGTCCTCTACCCGGGGGTGGAAGATGAACGTTTCCACGGAGAAGGGGACGATCTGCTTCTGGAAGGTGGCGCCCTCGTCCGTGCTCAGGAACAGGCTCTGGTCCCGGTCGCTGAGAGAGGAGCTCACGAGGATGATCTGAAACACACAGTGGGGCGTGAGGCCTCTGCGTGGAGATCAGGCGATGCGTCTACAAGCCAAGGGCTGCTGGAGCTGCCAGAAGCCGGGAGGGGGCCTGGAGTGGGTTCCCCGCAGCCCCCAGAGGGAACCGGCCCTGCCGACACACTGACTTTGGACTCCCGGCCTCCAGAACTGAGACGACAGATTCCTGTGGTTCGAAGCCTCATCTGTGGTACTTCGGTACGGCCGCCCCAGGACACTGACCTGCCCGGCCCACAGCTCTACAGTGGGGAGGGCTTACTGTCGAGTACACCCAGGAGGCAGGGGCCATTTGGGAGGCTGCCTCGCCCTGCGCTCACTTGGTGGAATGACAGGGCCCCTCGGAGGGACACGCGAGAGCTCCTGTGTCCCTGGGGCCAGAGAAGGTCGACCAGCCGGGTGGGCTGCGACAGTGCCAGGAGCATCGGCACGCGGGGTGGAGGGGCCGCGAGCCGCGTGGTTCACCCTCCAGCGCTGTGGCCCCGACTCCCACCTCCAGCATCATCAGAAGGTCCGTTCCCCACACAGGAAGCCAGGGGGTCTCCTACACATGGACCTTGTAGAAACTTCATGGTTCCTGGGAGCCCCAAGGAGACACCAAGCCCCCTATCAGGGTCCCCAGGCCCTTCCCGGACTGGCCTCCCTCCCAGCCTCCACTTGCACCCTGGCCATGCCCAGCATGGGCCACAGCCCCACCCTGGGGTGGGCCTTCCTCAACCCAGGCTGGGCTGAGCTCCTGCCACAAGGCTGCTGGGGACCCCAGGACTTGCCCATCACATGTTCACCCCATTTCATGGAAGCGGCCTCCTCCCCAGGGACTGAGGCCCTGTTGGGTCAGGGGCCATGTCTGTGGAGGTCACTACCGACCCCCTCCCCAGCCCACCCCTGCAGGGCCTGGGCACTCCACCAGTCAGATGAATGAATGAGGGAATGAGGGGATGAGTGAATGAACCATGTGTGCTGGTGGAGTAGGGGGCTGGGGGCACACACTCCGTCTCCAGATAACCCAGTTCAAATCCATGTCTCTGTGACCAAACACCCTCTGTGCCTCAGTTTCCTTGTCTACAAAATGGGTGGCTTTCCCCGGGAGGGCGTGGGGCAATGAGATGCCCCCCCAGGATGGCCTTCCTCAACCTCCGACACTGCTCTAGAAGACAAATCAATGGGCTGCACTGAACTCCTGTCTCGTGCGAACAAATGATAACCCAGTGTGTTCTTCCTTTCCAGGGAAACCTAGTGAGCCCCCCAGGGGCGGTCATTCATCTCCAGCACAAAAGCCTTCTGTCCCCAGCAAACGGCGGGTTGCGGAGCCTGATTCCTGCAAAGATGTGCTCGGAGATGTTCCTCATGGTGTGATTTACATGCAGGAAAAATGGGGCGGGGGAGAATGGTCAGGGGAGCCAGAGAGCGTGTACAAATGTTTACAGAGAATGTTTAGTGACAAGAGAGCTCATGCACACGTGACATTTAAAAAGCAGGGCACAAAATTATAAGCGAGTCTAATTTCTGTACATTTCACGTTGACAAAATTGTAAGGAAGAGTATATTATAATTTTGTCAATGGTAGGTGTATAAAGGTAAGTATAATTTTATCAGTGGAAAATGCATAGAAAGAAGAAAGGAAGGATTATTATTCCGCCATAAAAAAGAATGAAACTTGCCATTTGTGACAACGTGAATGGACGTTAAGGACGTTATGCTAAGTAAAATAAATCAGAAGGAGAAAGCAAGTACCATGTGATCTCACTTATATATGGAATCTAAAAAGAAAAAGGGAAAAAAACCCAAGCCCAGAGATACAGAGAACAGACGGGTGGGGGGAGGAGGGTGGGCAAAACGGGTGAAGGGGATCAAAAGGTACAAACGTCCAGTCGTAAGATAAATAAGTACGGCATGGTGAGTATAATCAATAAAACTATACTGCATATTTGAAAGTGGCTATGAGAGTAGATCTTAAAAGTTCTCATCAGAAGAAAAAAATTCTGTAACTATGTATATGGTGACAGATGTCAACTGGACTTATTGTGATCATTTCACAAGACAAACATCGAACTATTATGTTGCACGCCTGAAACTAATATAATGTTGTATGTCAATTACACCTTCATTTAAAAAAGAGAATGGAAAGAAACACAGGGGGATGTTAATAGTGGTGGGTTTAGAAGGACTTTTTTTAAAAGTTTTAAATAAACTTTTTAGTTTAGAATAGTTTTAGATTTACAGAAAAGTTGCAAAGATAGCACAGAGAGTTCCCACATGACACACACCCTGCTTCCTCTTTCATGAATAGCTGACATCAGGATCATACATCTGTCCCCACTAAGGACCCAACATCGATACATTGGTCTCATCTAAACTACACACTACATTTCACCAGTTTTTCCACCAACGTCTTTTTCTGTCCCTGTTCCAGGTTCCCACGTGACATTTAGTTGTCACGTCTCCTCCGGCTCTTCTGGGCTGTGACAGTTTCTCAGGCTTTCTTTGCTGTTGATGACCTTGGAAGTTTTGAGGACTGGCTGGCTGTTTTGTAGTAGTTACCTCCCCATTTGGGTCTGTCTGATATTTTGCTTGTGCTGATGCCATGGTTCTGAGTTTTGGGGGGGAAAGGAGCAAAGTGAGGGGTGCCTCCCTCATTGCAGTGGACGTGCAGTGGATGTGACCTGTCACTGACGATGCTGCCCTCGCTGGCCAGGTGGCACTGGCCAGGCGTCTCCCTGTAACGTTACTCCATTCCTCCCGGCTTCCATCCTGTCCCTTTGGGAGGAAGTCGCCTTGCGCAGTCCACACCTGGGGGCGGGGGGAGGGGAGAGGCAGGCGGCCCTCCTGGAGGGTGGAGCAGCTACATACATTATATGGAATTCTTCTGCCTGGGAGATTTGTCTTTTCTCCCCCATTTATTTACTTATTCAATCATGTATTTATATCACTATGAACCCACAAATATTTAGTTTATGCTTTGAGTTGTATTTCAATAATATTTTCTTATTTTGCTGCCCACATAGGTCCAGCTCTGGCTACTGGGAGGTCTTCTGGGGTCCTGTGTCTCCTTTGACATCGTCCTTCAACTCCTAAATATTCTACACAGCACCTGGCTTCCCTGGATAATCAGGAAAAATGAAATATATCACCAAGACTCCTTCCACATCTTTCCCGGATACAGCACGGTTCATTCAGTATCCACTGGACACTCTCGGCCTGGCTCTGCGCCCCACCCCAGGGCAGCAACTCTCACGCCCGACTCCATCTGGGCCGTCTGGCCTGGGAAGCTCATTAAAGCACTTTGCTCGTGATGCATTTTCCACAATGTGTTTACAACACAACTATTTGCTTATTTACCTCCCCCACTACACTGTGCCCCCTGACCTCAGGGGTAGGGAATCTTTTGGTTTCTCCAGCACCCTGCACAGGCCTGACCCCAAGCTGTCCTGCTGGATACACGAAGGAATGCACGCACGCATGCATGCATGAATGAGCAATTCCAGCTCAGTGTGTGACTCTAAGAGAACTGTTTGTTTGTTTTTCTACTCTGGGAGGAAAACATCCTTAGGGATATTTAAGTAGCCTGGAGAGCAGAAGGCATAAATAATCTCATCCACTTATTCCTGTTCACCACTCAAAGTTTCACACAGCAATGAAGGCTCATTCCTTCGTTCATTCATTCACTCTTCCACAGCTGCTAAAACTGCAAGGTCAAGCAAGGATTTAGGTATGCACAGGGCTTTACGGGAGCAGAGCAGGGAGAAAATATCATCCAGGTGCAGAACAAAAGGAAGGGCTTCCTGGAGGAGGTGATACCCAGAGGAGCCTTGAAGAATGAATGGAAATTTGATCCAGACCCAGGGGAAGGTGTTTCAGGCAGAGAGGACAGCATAACCAAAGGCAAACAGGCGGCATCCCAGCTGAGACCGTTCACATCCTGACCACCTTTGTGTGTCTTGTCCCCTTTGGCGGGAATGCACAGCAGGATCAACACACCCCCAACATCACCACTGGTAATTCAGAATCAGATTTTAAAATCTCAAAATGTCACAAAATCCAAGTGTGATAAAATGAAAATGGTTTCTTTGAAATTTTCTGAGCCCTGAATTCTGGGCAACTTCAACAAAGCTGAATGTTTCTCATTTATTTTTGGTGTCCTTGCTTTGCCAGTGCCCCCAGCATGAGTTTAGCCTGTTTTTATGATGGGACATCTTCCCCCTTTTATCTGCTTATCAAATGCCTCCTCATCCACCGAGGCACCTTTAGAAGGTCACCTCCTCCAGGAAGCCTTCTGTGATACACATCCTCCAACAAGAGTTTTTCTCATGCCTCCTCTGCCCCTTCCCCCAGCATCTTGTACATTCATTTGCTCCAGCCCAACATTCCTAGGGTTCTCCCCAGGGAACCCTCGGAGAACCTGCCTTTCCCTCCAGGTGGGGAGGCTGTGCAGCCTGGCAGGGCCCAGGTCCTCATCACTGCCATCCAGCCCAGAGCACGGGACCTGGTCCAAGAAATGGGTGTTGGTTTTCCCACACAGAATGAGTGCTCTAGGTACCGGGTCACCTCTCCACGACGGCCCCCAGTTACAGCCAAGGCCCTACCCATGGTGGCAACTGAGGCGGAAGGAAAAAGAACCTGAGGACGTGATTCTGGCCGGGGGCCCAGCAATCTGTGGTTGTGGGCTATTTTGGGCCTCAGAGTGGGACAAGCCAGGAAAGACGGGGGGAAGGAAAAAGTGCTGACAAGGAAAGGATTATTGGAGCAAAGAAAACAAAGCAATTAGCATCGTGCAGAGAGGAGGCTGGCAGATTGTTCTTCCAAACTGGGAACCGGACTATTTTAAATGGTGTATTTTCACTGCTTACTATTCTGGGGAAACATATGGCACCCGAGCTAGGTTCTGGGGGCCCTTGAGGCTGGGTGTCTCAAAATCAGAGGCAGCACAGTTGAAGACAAATATTTGATAGATTCATTGGACTAATGGCCAGCCCACCTGA